TTTTGCTAGTAGGCGTTGGCCAACAGGCTAACACCTGTAAACTCTTGGAGAACTGCTAATGCAAGTGAGACTTTATAGTTAAAAAATTCACATGTCTTCACAAGATTGTTTATACACGCTTCACTGTCCACGGTGTGGTGCCCCCACGATGCCGAACTGCGCCCAGAGGTCACTCAGTTGAGAGGCAGGGGCCTTTGTCGTGTAACGGATAGTGCACTCATTCGGAAAGCGTGAAATGCCGCTGCGGCTTCCAATCCGGGTGGGGTCAAGACTTCTGCCCAAAAATCAGCATTACTTGTAACTGTCACAGGACTTTCCGATCAACCTAATTTTCTTTTGTTACTGAAGCTTAATCAGTTTTTTTTTTACAGCCTGATGCAGCTCGTTGTTGTGTCGTGAAAATTGCAAATGCCCAGTTCTATTATGGATTTGAGTATCTGGGAATTCAAGAAAGACTTGTTCGTACACCACTTACAGACCGTTGTTATTTGACGATGACGCAGGCTTTGCACTCCAGGTGAACATTATGTTTTTGATGGCTTGAGATCCTTTGTCATGAAGCGTTCCGTAGGTTCGAATCTGAAATGTGTCCCTTTAGGCTCGGTGGTTCTCCATTCGGTCCAGCCGGTACAGGAAAAACCGAGTCCGTTAAGGCACTTGGTCATCAGCTTGGGCGATTTGTATTGGTGTTCAACTGTGACGAAACGTTCGATTTCCAAGTGAGCCTTCATCAGACATTTAGGGCTCTGTTTATTTTTTGCGTCATGAGCGGTTCAGTCGCGCGATTTGAGAACTGCGAAACTGGCAGACCGCGCTCCAGTGATAATCGTTGGACGAATGGGAATCCAATCGCATCCAGCATAGATTTTTTTGCATTTGCGGCGGTCAAAGGATTATCAGTGGAGCATAGTCCGACGCTGTCGCGCGACTGAATCGCGCGAGGCGCGAAGTGTGAATATAATCTGTCAGTTATTCCATAAGGCAAAGTGATTCATTGCAATTTTTATTCAGGCCATGGGTCGTATTTTGGTCGGTCTGTGTCAAGTTGGTGCCTGGGGATGCTTTGACGAGTTCAATCGTTTGGAAGAGCGTATGCTGTCTGCTGTATCGCAGCAGATTCAGACTATACAGGTATTTCCATTGAATTAGGGAAAGTTGCTGAATAAAAAGGCAACGGCTAGATTCCCCGTTCCTTAAAGGGCTTCGCCTAAAGAGCGCGTCCTATACATCGCTATCCGATCGCTTGGATCACGCGACGACGACTGGGAGCTCTTCAAGGCCAATCAATGGTCCTTAGCAACAGCAAAATTCAATTTGGCCGCATTCACGCAGTGCACGAAGGCGGCCCAAGTTGAACTCTGCTGTTACGGCGGTCCACCGACTGGCGTAGAGCACTCCCGGTCGTGATCGCGTGATGCAAGCGATCGAGTCGCGAAGTATGAACGCTCCGGAATTAGGTGATTTCGCCGCGCGCGAAGAGTGCAGCTGACACAAACCCCGTAATAAGCGAATGTTGCAGGAGGCTGTCCGTGCAGGTGGTGAAA